CTAAGTTTTACTTTGACTTTTGTTTTTTTTTTTCTAACCATGGCTGCTGCTGCCATTCACATTTACATTCTGTTCACCATCTACCAATATCAGAAATGAACTCCAAGGGTGGCCTCACCCCCTCCTTTGCAATCCTGTGAAATCATCTTTCTCTCTGGCTCTAAAAAAAAAAGTCTTTTCTAGGCCATGACCCAGATTTTTATCTCCAGTCCAGAATTCTCACGTGCAGTGAAACTGTCTGGAAATAAACATCTACTGGGCAACTATATTGGAATATTTTACAAATGTATCCAATTTATCAAACCAAAAATGAAACATGTGGTGTCCAATCCTAGTGGCCAGTACACAATCCAACCAAAAGACAAGGTCAGGAATGTGGGCCTTCAGATCTTAGATTGTACTTCCACAGATCTATATCTGAATCTTACTCATTTTAATGGCTTCCTTAAGAATGAAATTTCATGAAATATTAATGTGAAACTTTACAGTGGAAATGTGGTGAAAAATACTTTTTGTGTTAGTCATGTACATAGGATATTATATATATAGAGAGAGCAGAGGGGTAATTCTGTTGAAACATCTATGAAATTACTAACAGTTTATAATGTCCTAGCAAATTCAACCCAGTATGTGCAAAGTCTGGTACTCTGAAGACCTGGGTCTACAAATGAGTAAAATGAAGTGATGCTATCTCGTAGGAGAACTTCTAGAATTTTTAGGAACATTTCTATTGTCATTATGGCTATTGCTGCTTGATACCCTCAATAATCAGAAACAATCCCATATTCCACAACATTCACATATCCTATTTGACAACTGATGCAAGGAGCTGAAGTGGAAAAACCCATTCTGGGAAAGCAGCAGAGAATGGTTCAAGTCCTTAGGTCCCTGCACCTATGTGGTAAGACAGAGGGCAAGAAAGAGAAAAATATCTTCCATTTTCTGATTTACTTCAGCTATCCCCAGGGGCTGGAACTGGTTCAGACTGAAGCCAGGAGCCCAGGTGTCTTACATGCACATCAGGGACATAAGCACTCAGGTCATCATCTGCTGCTTCCCTGAAAACATCGGCAGGAAGATGGGAGCCAGATTGGAACCAAACCATATGACATGCTAGTGCTTCACCAGCCACAGCATGGTCTCGTCCACAAATTGTTTGAAGTACCCTCCTTTATGTCATTTGAATGCCAAAAGAAGATAAACGGTTGTTAGTGCCTGGTCCAGTGGCTCAACTAGCTAATCCTCCACCTGTCACTTCCAGTATCCCACAAACCAGTGGCGTTGGTTTGTGTCCCAGCTGTTCCACTTCCCATCCAGATCCCTGTTTGTGGCTTAGAAAAGCAGTCAAGGATGGCTCAAAGCCTTGGAGTCCTGTACATCCATGACAGAATCTAGAAGAGGCTCCAGGCATCAGATCAGATCAGCTCAGGCCATTGCAGCCATTTGGGGAGTAAAGTGATGGATGGAAGATCTTTCTGTCTCTCCCTCTCTCTGCAAATCTGCCTTCCCAATAAAAATAAATAAATATTAAAAAAATAAATTAAAAAAAGAAGTATAATCAAAACACAGCTTAAAATTAGAAACTCTGTCACAGGTTGCTAGGCAACACAGGCCAGAAAGGCCAACGTCAGGGGTTGGGATTTTCTGAAACCTAAAATAGATCTCCTAGATCTTCAGAATATTCATCCTGTGAAAAAAGAAGGCTAAGCAAAAACACGATGTCACCATGACAGACAGAGGAAGGAAACCAACATGCATGACAAAAAGCTGCTCTGCAGGACAGCCTCCTGCAGCATGGCAGTTGTCCTGGGATAAGTTGCCCTTTTCTCCACACTCACAAATTTCCTCCACCCCAATTCCTGATATCTACACATTCACTTAGAGCTTCACTCAAAAACTCTGTGGAGGTTCTGGCTCTGCATGATGAGGATTTTCAGCCAGCTATGACCAGGTGTAGTGTATAGGCAAGCATGTTTCCAGAGTGTTGGGTCATTCGTGGGCCACCATGAAAGAAATATCTTGGTGTTCTTATTCTCACCCCTTGCAAGACAAGCCTCTCCTTATTGACACTCCTGAGCATCCCAGGAAGGCTCATGACTGGCATTCACCCTGAGGATATTCGCCAACCTTTTCTCTTCTCACCCACCAGCCTATCCCCAGCTCTCTCACAAGGATCTAGAATTTGGTGTCTCCATGCTGTTTTACCATGTCTTTCTTTTTGGATCCAGGACATCTTAGCTATGTCTCCAACAATAAGATACACTACCCTTCTTTTAATATTCCAGTAAACAGTCAATGCTTTCTCACATGAACAGCATGCATTTAGTTTTACTTAACTCACTTATAACTCACTTATCCATAATTTGGTGTGATCTTACATAGTACTCGAAGCCAGTGCTTATTTGAAGCAAGAACTTCACAGGGTAGTCTGGAATATACATAAAGCATTACTGCCATTTAATAATTAAAAAAAAAACCTAAAACTCAAGAGAAAAATAACTGGACCACGTTCACCTCACAGGTAAATGGTAATACTGGAATTTAAATTTTGGTCCAGCCAATAAGAGATACTGCTGCAACTTCCCTTAATAAGTCTTGGAGAGTTGCATATTTTATATTCCTAAGTCATCCAGTACTTCCTGATTTGTAACTAATTATATATGCAACTACTTGACCAACATCTGCCTTCCCCAGTGGACTGCGGGGACCATGGGACAGCAATAGTGTGTTTCACTCTGTTCATGAAGCCTATTGGCATCCCTGACCCACAGAATCCACTATAGTGATGTTTCCTACTTCCTGGACTGCATGCCAATGACTTCAAATGGTACCCAAACTCTCCATGTGTAAGGATGAAGTTTTCATTTCCAATCATTTTTAAAAGAAGCTGTAAAAATTAAAGACAGGGAAAGTAAAATCGCTCGTTTACAGTAATGCCCGAAAACATATGAGGTCTTCTCTTCTGATGATGCTCTATCACTTAACCATGTACTCATATTTGTATAGAGTACAGTGAATATACATATACATAGATATCCTTTTAAAATATTTGTGTATTTATTCTAAAGACAAAGTTACAGATAGGAAGACACAGAGAGAGAGTGCTTCCATCCGCCAGTTCATTTCCCAAATGGTTACATTGGCTGTACATGGACCACGTCAAATCCAGGAACAAGGAACTTCCTCTGAATCTCCCATATGGATACAGGGCTCAAGGAATTGGCCTTACTTTATTGCTTTTCCTGGTTCGTTAGCAGGAAGCATCCAGGACTCAAATCAGTGGCCATATGGGATATTGATTATTTCAGGAGGGGTTGCACCAGTTGCACCACAGGATCAGTCCCATGCTATTATTCATGGGCATTTATTAGAAGCAAATTATTTGGTATAAATCCTGAGATTTAAGTCATTGAAAGTATGTTTAATAGTTAGTAAACCTTTGACAAAATAAAAATCACGAGAAGAATAAAAGTTTTCTTGTGTTACTAGCAGAATTACTGACACAGGCAAAAAATAGAATGGATGAATCCAATGTGGTATATCCATGCAGTAGAATACTATAGAGCAATGAAAACAGGAGAACTAACTTTACTTCCAACAATACAGATGAATCTCAGAATAGAACCTGGAGTGAAAGAAGCCGGACACAAAAGAGCATTAAACATCCATTTACATAAAGTGCAATACGAGCCCAATTCACACATGATGCTCAATTTAGAACTCTGATTATTCTAGCTAGGAACTCTCTATGGCATGAAGTGGGCACAGGGTGCCTCTAGGTCGCTGGTCATGTGTGTCTGGCTTTATGAGCATCTTACAAGTACTAGCGTAATCAACTTCACGAGACCCTGATGGCCCCTGCAACTCTTTGTGTCATGTTTAATGAAGATTCACTGCTTGAAAAGTCCCTATACATACTAGTAGAGTTATCAATCTGTCTAATTAACAAAGTTGTGTGTGAATTCTGTCCACCACCTCTTCCTTAGTGACTTTGTTGTCAAGTTGGCTATCCACACTGTTGTATCCCAAGGCCTACTGGACAGCTGCCTGGCCATCCATTCACTATCATTGTGGGCTGCAGTTTGGAAAGCAAAGGTACTCCAGCACATCCAGAACACACGTGTAGCTTAAAACTAGCTTTTCCCACCTCACATGCATTTCTGAGATAATCCGCATTCCAGTGAAACAAAGGAAATAAGTCATTGGTGATTGAATAATCTACAAACAAGTATCATTAGCCCGACTGACTAAAAGCCTACAATAAAAGAAGAAAGGCTGAATTACAGAGTCCTTTCTTTTCCTAACACCTTCAGAACAACTTTTAGCCTTAAACAGTGCTGCTGAATTTCAACTGTTTAGCTATGTTGTAGAGCACAATTAAAATTATTGCATGGATATTTTTCACATTTTTGCTTAAGATGAGCAATGGAATATTCCATGAAAATATTAACTTGCACAGTTAAGAATCGGAAAGAGAAACTTCTCCCTGGCGCCAATTATTCGAAATTTCGCCTTCAGCTTGCATAGTAAGACTATGTGTCTCCTCCTATTCGTGCCTTCTGGCTCTAAAAGTTTTTAAAAGATTTCCATCTCCTTCTTATTGGCCAAAGGGCAACTTCATTGCAAGTAAGAGCATCAATAAAATATTATCCAAATTCAATCGATACCAGGATGGATTACAGAAGACCTGAACAGTCTGAGGTTAAGAAACAGCAAGTAAAATGGAGAGAAAGAGAGAAGAAAAAAAAATCTACGTCTTCTAGCTCACTCCATAACTCAGCAGGAGCCTAGATGCCTAAAAGATACGCCTTTAGGGGAAGCACAGAGTGGGGGTAAAAAAAAAAAGTGGTTTCTTGTTTCAACCAGACTCCAAAGTTGGCAATTGGAGCACGCGGAGCCCTCTCCCCTCATCCATCCGCGAGAAGGTCCAGGGACCAGATGGCGGGCAGCTTCCCTGCGCCCAGGCCCCAGCGACCGCGCGTCCCCGGGCCGGGACTCACCAGGAGCGCGCAGCACAGCAACTTGTTCATTGTGGTCCGGGGGAAACCTCAGGCGCTCGGGCGGCGGCAGCAGCGGCGAGACGAGCGCGAGGTGCGTCTGTGCAGCTCGTGCACTGGTCACGTTATATATAGCATCGAGCCAACAGGAAGTATGGCCTGCCTTTGATCCGTCATGTTTCTTCCTTGGTCCAAACTTGGCACGGTTCCTTTTTAGGAAACTCCGGCGGGAGTTGGGAGGGAGGGTTAGGGGGGCGTGCGTCAAGCTCTTTTTAACGCTTTCCCAACCAAGGTGGAAAGATTCCTCCTCCGGAGAGAGGAGGGAGTGGAGGGGCGGGGATGTCTGGTCCTCGGGAGGTCCTGGGCGGCTGGGGGTGGAGGGGAGTCACGGGGCTGAGGGACAAACAAGGCGGCCGCTGTATCCGCGCGGCTGGCTCTGAGGTTTCCCAGCCTCTTCCCGCCAGGGGCCGGCCTCCTGGCAGCCGCGAGCGGCGGGGAACAGGGCTGGGCGCACGCTGGGGAGCTGCTGGACTGTGTCTCCTCCACCCTGAGCGTCGGATTGGGCCAAGATCCTGACGCAGCTGGAGTATGTCCCAGACGCCTTGTGCCCTGGCTGGGGGAAAGTTGTGAGTTTCCGCCTGGTTCCGCCGTCTGACCTCTTTGTGGGTTCTGAGAACCCAAATAACAAGGCCTCCCTTGGATGCGCAGCCTTTGTCTGCATGCATTGATGGGGAGTTTGCGGTCATAAATCATTAGGGTTCCAGGCCAGGCAGAAGGAACTCCTCTGAGTCATGTGATTGGTTCTGCAGCCTGTACTTTTCCCCCTTCACTTTTCCTTGTCCGAAGCAGTCAGCCTGAGAGAAGCTGCAGAATAGCCAAGTACTGGTGGGTTTCATGTCACCTGACCCTGGTCCTTTGTCCTGCCCGCAAATAAAAAAGGCATAGCTGTGGATGCAGACCCTGATGCACAATGGAGAATATGGCAGCCTGTTTGGTGCTATCGCAGAGAAAGCAGAACAGAGCAATTTGGAACTACCCCTGCAGACCACGACAGCAAAAATCTGGGTGAATGGAGACTTGAGGTCGACTACTTCAACCAATGGGCATTGGGAGGACGGCATCACCCTTGGATCTGCGAAATCCACAGCATTGCAGATCTGTCCAGACAGCTTGATCGGAACTCTCCAAACATGCACTGTAGTGGGACACTGGGGTGTATCGGGTGGCTGTTCCCCATCCACGGGTGCTGGGACATTTGGGAGGCTGGGTGTGGCTTCCCGCTTTATTCCCCCCCCCCCCCGCCCCTTCCCTCAGAGACAAGAAGAAATGGAGAAATAGGAAGCAATAATTTCACGTACTTTTCCCTGATCCTCGATCCATTCCTACCCTGGTCAACCGTGTAATTACCACCAAATAAAAATAAATAAAATTAAAAAAACAAAGGACTGTTGGTGTACTGGTGTACAGAGTATTTTGCAGTTATTTCTTCCAGCTCACTTCACTGTCCCCAAGCAGTTGACTGTATAGTTGTGTACTTTGAGTCAAGGATTCGGGACTATCTGTTCTGTTTCCCCCAGTGACTGCTGGGAGCTGGAGCTGGTGACTTTTGGAGTGTGTTCCCATTCCAAGGTCTTGTAGATCACAGGTTCCAGGGGTTCTCAGACTGTCACTAAAAGTCTCTGTTTACACATGGCTGAAAAAGTCCCTTCAGACTCAACTTCCTCATCCAGGGCCAAGTGGTCAGCTATAGACATGTGTCTCCTGAGAAGGGCAAATCTTCTCCATAGTTCAGGGAGAGGAAGGTGGCACAGCAGTGAGGGGACCTCTAGAAGTGGGAGACCAGGGTCATATTTTGCCTACAGGGGTCATCTGCCCCTCCAGATGGGCAGTGTCACCCCTAAAGATCCATAGAACAAGGGGAAAATACTTGGAGGAACAGAATGCCAGTTCTTTCCCCTTATCAATTACAGAAGACAGAACCAACCTCAAGGGCAAGGACAGAGGGATATGCTGCCTTGCGCATGAACTGATGAATGAGCAAGTGTATGCCTGTGAGTGGAGCCCCTCACATTCTGAACCTCACTGCTGACATCTACAGCCTGAGATTTTAACACTTGTTCTAACCAGGGATCTCAAGTAAGCCCAAAAGTCAGGAATAAAATACTCAGAGCAGTGTGTTTGTGTTTGTTAGGATGGTATTTGTCTAAAATGTTACCTCAAGGCGTGTTTTCTCAAAACGCAGTGTGATGCCAATGTGGGCGAAAGGGACCTTGCAAAACATCGATCAAGTGGAAATAAACTGAGCAAGGATGGAGCCCTGCAATGTTAACCCTGGCAAAGGTTCATTTTCTCTTGCCTCTATTTCCTCATCTGTAAGATTAAAAATACAGAAATATGGGAGGAAACACAGGCAAATATGTTTCCAAGTAGCCTAGAAATGATGATAAGCACTCGTTGCACTAGTTGAAAGCGATGCAGCACAGCTCCTGGCCCACGGGATGATTTAGTGATTATTGTTATGGAGAGCAACACAACTGGTCAACAGTTGCAGACACCCAGATCTGAGCCTCAGCACCATTGCATCCCAGCTCTGTGGCCTGATGTTTTGCCTCGCCTATTTGTGATTTCTTTATCTATAGAGTAGGGCTGAAAATTATACCTACCTCATAGGATTATAAAAATTTATTATGAGGATTAACTTGAATAGTCTTATGAGGATTAGATTGGATACATAGTACATAGTCAAGTAAGTGCTCATTGAATGTTGTGATGATGATGATGGGAATGGAGGATTCTTAGAACCCTTACAGAGGAACAAGGTGAAGCTAAGTTTCCAGGGGCAGGAGCCATACTTCCTAAAGCTTCTAGCTGAGCCTCTGGTTCCCTGTAACCATTCGATAAATAATAGAGTGAATGGTGATGGTTTGGAGGTCCACTATCTAGAATCACAAAATAGACTGTGTATTGACTGTTTATCTCAGGGCCTGCCAGTGTGTCTCCCATTAATCATTCACTGACAGGAAACTGACAGAGCCTGTGAGTTTTCGGTCATTTCATTTGTTCTATTCCTGGACCCATCTGACCAATCCCTCGGGCTATCTCCAAGTGATCCACTACCATGGGCAGCAGGCCCTGGCCACTCTGAGCTGCAGTTCATCTTCAAGCTGAATTGGAATGGACCCAGGGATTCCAGTCTGAACCCAAGAGGGGAAGTTTCCACAGTAACTCAGCAGACTACATTCATCTTCCTCTGACAGAGCTCTCTTTGGCAGGGGCCATCAGTGACATTACGCCAAGTGTCCTGTAAATGCAGCCTTCTTTTCCTGAATGCTAGCGATGTGTAGTGCTAACTTCCCAGGGGATGCCTCATCAGGTATCCCTCACAAGACAAATATTATTATGGCTCGTCCTTTTGATCCTCCCCACTATCACTCTGCCTATATCCCCGTGCCCTTAGTTCAGCCACTCTTACAGTCTAGGAAAATGGTGTATGATTTTGGCAGCTCCCAGAGATGATACACCTTGTTTCTTCACTAGGGCAAGGAAGCCCATGAGCCAGGTCACTTGCGATCTTAATCATTATGGGGATTCCTGAAACCCAGCATAATGAATGACATGGTGACACAGGAGACATGGCATGTGTGAAGTGACTGATAGGTGTTAAAAACATCTGTGCAGTGCCCGGCAGCATGGCCTAACGGCTAAAGTCCTCACCTTGAAAGTGCCGGGATCCCATATGGGCGCCGGTTCTAATCCCGGCAGCTCCACTTCTCATCCAGCTCCCTGCTTGTGGCCTGGGAAAGCAGTCAAGGACGGCCCAAAGCATTGGGACTCTGTACCTATGTGGGAGACCTGGAAGAAGTTCCTGGATCCTGGCTTCGGATCCGCGTAGCACTGGCCAATGCGCTCAATTGGGGAGTGAATCATCAGATAGAAGATCTTTCTTTCTGTCTCTCCTCCTTTCTGTATATCTGACTTTTCAATAAAAATCAAATACATCTTTAAAAAAAAAATCTGTGCATAAGCTTCCTTACCTGAAAATAGGAAATGTTATCTCTGAGCCTAAGTATGTATAGGTATCCATACCAACCTGATGAACAAATGTATGCTTTGTTATTTCATTGTCATTTAAAAGCCGATTTTCCAGGGCAAAAGCAGATGGGAACAATCAGAAATACCCCACAAATAACCATCTGGGTTTTTTTTTTTTTGTATTATTATTTGTAAATGTTTACCAGTTCCTTCATTAATTTGTTCTATCTGTGTTAATATTCTAGACAAAATCTACTCAAATTTAAATGTCTTGTAGACTGTGTATATAAATGGATGTGCACTTGCTTTACCAAAATAAGTTACAGATGGCTGGGGCTCTGTGATCTAGTACTTTTGATGGAGTTAGTCACCAGGTACATAAGGATCTGCTTCAAAGTATTGGACCATGGCCAACAGCTACTGGTTGTAGTTTCTATTCAGCAGGAGTGGAAGCCATTCATGAAAATGTCTCCTTATTTGAAAATTGACTTCTTCAGAAATTCACACAGGCATGTCTAAGATGTTCTTAGTAATGAGCTTTAGGGAAAACTACATGCATTTCAAAAATTTTTTCACTAGGATGAATTTGATTTTCATTTCATTTTTTGCACACACTTTTTGAATCACCCTCAATCTGTGTGTGACTTGTAGCCTCTGAAAAATGAGTGTGTTAAATGGTGGTGAGGAAGTAGCAGAGGGGTTAGAGAGCAAGAATCATAGGTAGGAAGAATCATAGTTGGGAAGATAGAGTAGGAAGTTGTTAACCCTTCTTTTGAGAGAACCAAGCTGTGATTCCAAGGAACGAAGAAGCCAGCTCTAGTTGGTACCTGGAGACCACGATATTGCTTGGGCATGAAGAGACTGGATAGATGAGGGGACAACAATCCAATTTTCAAAATGCACTGGATTGCATTTTTTCTTCAAAGAACTTTAAGAAGTTATGGAGGGTGTTAGACCCACTTGCTATAACAAAACTCCATAGGCCGAGTGGCTCATCTACAATGAGAATTGATTTCTCATGGTTCTGTAAGCTGTGAGCCCACATCATGGTGCCTTTATATGGTTAGGCTTTAGGAATATAGACTGCTGACTTGTCTTTTATGTTCTCATGGCAGAAAGGGAGGGGACCCATGTGGATTCTCTCTTTTA